CTCTGTCTGCACAGGTCTTGAATCTCGCCAGTGGCAGTGAAGAGATTGTGGATCCTGAGAATGTCTGGAACTGTATTCCTGACTGGGCTATCAGATCATCTGAGGTATGGTGGTGTGGTAGTGGACTGGGCAGGACAGTACTGATTTTTAGAAAGGGTGCTCTAAGTTGTTCCTGTGTCACCATGAGAATAGAAAGATTTCTTTAACACTTCATCTTGTCCTGCATTCTCTAATAGACCTCTGTGGAGACTGTAGAAATTTATATATATCTCTTATATAACTGATATCATTAACATAAACTATTTATATAAACTGACAGCCACTTGGCCTGAGGACTGTGAATTGAGTCAGGGAATAGATTAATAAAAACAGCTTGAAACATTGCGGGGAGGTTGCTATTAATCAATAACTGTAGAACAGTGCTGATGGCATGTGGCTTTTGGCAGATCGTGCTAGTAGAGCATGTAATGAACTGGTAAGTCATGAAAAATACTTTTGTTATGAAGTAAGTAGGAAATGATGGTAAGGTTTTCACCAGTGTTCTTCATGAGGTACCAGCAAATGAAAAACTCATGTCTGGAACCCAAAACTCAGGTTCTCGGCAGTGCAACTGATCATAACAACGAATTTTTACTTCATTCTTCACGTGCAGTTCTTGCATCCAGGTAAAAAGTGGGCAGAAGACTACTGTGAGGAGTTGTAAGGGGAAAACAGTGGTAAATGAGTGCAGCAGGGCTGATGGAAAAAGTTAGTCTAGTATTGAAAGGAAGCACCTCAGTGGAAAATAATCTTGGCAGTAGTGCCAGCTTCCTAACAGAATCCCCTGTTGCTTAGGGGATGCCTCCTGGAACAGAGAACTTGCAGTCTTCACCAGAGGAGCCCTTACTTCAAGGTAAGACTACCCTGAACCTCCCAGAGAGGTTGTGTACCTGGTGTCTGGATGCTATCTAATTTTCTAGAAAATGCTTTAGTTTAGAAAATACAGCTGAAACACTGTTTTGGGTTTTTTTGAGCTTATGTATTTACTATTAATACTGTTGTAATTTTCTTAATAGCATTAGCCTAAGTACTTTCAGTTTAATGGTGAATACATGCAATGACAGCTGCTGCTCTGTCTTGATGAGAAATCAGTTCACTATTGATAGAGAAGCTAGAGAAGTCAAGACTGAGAAGGGGATCTTATCAATGTCACTCAGTGTCTAAAGGGTGGGTCTCAGGAGGATGGGGCCACTCTCTTTTCAGTGGTGCCCAGTGACAGGACAAGGGGCATCAGGCACAAACTGGAACACAGGAAGTACCACTTAAACATAAGGAAAAACTGGTTCCTGTGAGGGTGCCAGAGCCTGGAACAGGCTGCCCAGAGAGGTTGTGGAGTCTCCATATCTGCAGACACTGAAAACCCACCTGGACACCATTCTGGGCAGCCTGCTGTAGGTGAACCTGTTTTGGCAGTGGGGTTGGACTAGATCTCCAGAGGTCCCTTCCAACACCTGCCATTCTGGGACAAGCTGGGAGGGTACCCCCAAGTTACAGATGGTGCTAGGGTTTTGAGTATTGGCCAGTAGCAAGCTCCTCCTGCTTGGATTTCTGCAGCAAGGTGAGCAACTGCTAGGCAGACTCTGCTAGGCCTTCTGGTTTGGGATTTGAGTGCCCCAGTCCCTTAACAGAGCTTGGTCTATCAATCTAAACCCATAATACCATCTTTGCTGTTGCAGGGGTAGTTTGAGAGTAGTACATGTACATTTTTCCTATTACCTTAACATTTTGAAGGGTTACTGGCAAACACCTATTCTGGGTACCAAAGAAAAAGTATAGGTTCTTTCTGATTAGATACAATTTCTATTATCTATGGAATCACAGAGCAGTTCTGATTGGAAGGGACCTTTGGAGGTACTCAAAGCAGTGTCAACTAGACAGGTTGCTTAAGACCTTCCTTTCAGGTGTGGGATCTATCCAAGGATGGAGACTCCAGAGCCTCTCTGGGCAACTTGCCCTTGTGTTTGACCCATGGTTGCCTGCTGGAGGCCGAGTTAAGCTTAAGTAGAGATGGTGTTTGTGTTTTCAGTGAATGAATGGGTAACTGTTTCAGCACAACTGCACTGAAAGCTGACTGGCCTGCAGGTTACAAATTGAAGTCTGTAACAAATCTAGTTACCTGTTAGGCATAAAAAAACCCCAACCCAATTAAAAGAAATACTAAACTGGTGAATATACAAATCCTCCCTCGATTACATTGCTCAAATGCAGCGTTACTTTTCATCTTGCTGTTTCTGATAATACTTTCTACAGTTTTTACTACTTCATTTTAGTGTCCCTCCCCAATTAGTGTTGCCAATTCTTATTGTCCAAACCTGCCCACTGTCTGTGTTGTTGAATACTGTGTGTGGCATTTGGGTATTCACCCTCTCAGCAGCCTCACAGAAATGGCGAGCGAGGGTCCCGCAGCCGTGTGGCACAGAACTGGATCTTGCTGCACACGTGGGCCACTGCCTGGAAAAGCAGCTTGAGCAGAAAGCACCAGATCCACAGAATGGAAAAACTCCTCTGGTGGCTTATTCTAAGCCCACTGAGGGGTGGAGTGGCTTGGACTTGTAACTGAAATCTGGGAGCACTGCCTGCTTCATCTTCATGGGCAGTTCCTGCTGTTTCAGCTGTTTATCCTTATATACAATACCTTTGCTTAGGTGGTGTCTTCCAATACAGCCCATTATGTTGATGACATTTAGACTTCAGATACTAATGCATTTCTGTGTGTTTATAGAAACATCTTGATGGGGCTCATCTCTTTATTCTCTGTAGAAGAGCAAACTGGCTGCAGCTCAGATTTAGCTGAAGATCCTCATGTCCTCCAGAGTTCCTGAGACCCAGTGACATGTTCACATGAAGCTGAACAAGTACCCGTGGACACAAACCTTCCCATGAAATGTGCTTTCATGGGAACAAGAGCACAAGCAAAGCACTGAGTGTTTCTCCTGCTGAGCAGATGGCTGTCAGTGCCACACTTCCCTGCCAAGGACTAGAGCTTGGTAGGACTGCTACTGGCAGCTTGGCTTCACAGGGCAGAACTTTCCTTACTTAAATAATAATCTGCCTCAACTGGGATTCCTCACTGAATGTCGTCATGCACCAATTTGTTTCCAGCTGTAGGTGGGAGGCTCTTGGACAAAAGTTTCTTGTGGGTTGCTGTATAGGCTACTGAGTCCTACAGTACTGCTGCCTGATACTTGTTTTTTGAAAAGTTACATTGTTAAGTGTGGTGGATTTTTTCTGTGTGGGTTCTTTTTTTCTCTAAGAAAAGTAGTGGGTTTTTTTTGGGGGGGGGGGAGGGGCAAGGAGGTTTTTTTTCTCCATAAGAGAACACAGTTGTCTTGGGTTGAAGTCTTGTATTTGGTACTGTTACAAAGCAGTGGAAGCTGGAATAAAACTTTGATTGGCATATGCTGATCAGTGTTTTTTGTGTTCATTAGCCCCAGTGCTGTGTGCACACTGAGCATCTTTCTTCAGCTCTACTCCTGTAGTTAGATGTAACTATGCACATGCTGCACTGTGAGCTGTGGTGGGTGCTCTGAAACATCAGAGTCACATACAAAACAGAACTTGTATTTATGACATGGCATTAATTGCACTAATGAAGATTTTCCCATAAGAAACAGATCTAGTTGAATGTTTTGCTGCTGTGTGTGTACAGTGTGGTCAAGGCTTCTCCTTAAAACACCTACAGCTTATCTCATGTTTCAGTCTACTCCTCCTGTGCTGAAAAGGGGTTTCTATTTTCCACTCCTGTTTCATGCTCCTGTGTAGCACAGCTTCTTGCTCCTCTTCAGAGGCTGTGGCTTTTTATTGCTGCTGTATTGTGTTAAGAACTCAAGATCTCTGCCAAGGCAATAGTCTGGCTGAGCATCACAATGCATCTGAAGTGTGTCAGTTCCCTTAACAGACACAGTACAAGATGGTAGGCTGGAGAGAATTTAATTAAATTCTGAAAGCCGGGTCTTAGATGTTGTTGCAATCTCATGTTAGGATCACAGATTATATGAATATTTAATTACACTGTTAACTGCTTTGTTCTGCTTGCTTCAGTTGGTTTTTTTTGTTACCTGATTTTGAAGCAAACAGAAGTAGTCCCCCTTTTGCAAGGCTTACTCATTTAGAAGTCACCTTTCCGTGCGGCAGCTTCAAAGAGTTTTGTTCTAAAAATCAAGAGTCTTCTTTAGCCCACCACAGTCAACTGCTTCTGCTGGCAGGTACAGACATTAGTGCCAGCACCTGGGCAAAGGTGAGTGCCTGGAGAGTATTAAAACTGTGAGAGACACCAAGATGATCAAGTGATGCCTACATATTTTCAAAGGGAGTAGTAGAAGTGACCTTCTCAGTGTTTTCATCTACAACAGTATGACTGAGTGCTATTGGTAACACAGGTGAACAAGACAGGCACTACTTTGAGCTTTGCCTAAGGGGAATTACAGTCACTGTAACCAGAATGACCATTTCAGCAGCTTTTGGAATGGAAACATCCTCTGAGTATGGCAGTAAACATCTCAAATGTAAGTGGATTAAGTTCTCATGAGAAGTCCTGTGCCTGAACAACTTTCTCTGCCTTGAATTATTTCCTGTAGCTTTTACTGTGACTCTTACTTGAAAAAAAAGACAGTTTTGAAGACCACCTTCCACTGGCATCTCTCTGACTAGAAGCAGCAAAAACCTGCTCCAGTCCTCTACTGTTGTCAGACCACAGCTGAAATGCTAAGTAGTTGAACAAGTTAAAGACTGGAGAGAGGGGAAAAAAAAAAAAAGGCAGCTTGCTTGACTTAAAGCTCAGTAAGCAAAACTGCAGTTGAATTTCTTGGAGCTTAGAATCAAGTTTGCAGAGAGAGATTAAGTCAAAACCAGAAAGAGTGTTTTAGATGCCATCAGGTGCCTAGAAGGCAGAAGTTACCCTGCTGCAGCATTTCAGAGAATCCCACTAGCTCATTTGAACTAAAACCTCTCTACATTTTCATGATAATGTTACCTAATGCCTTTTTTTTGTTGCTGTTCCACACCCCAAAAGCTGTGTAGGTGGCCAATGATCTCACATGTCTGGCCAGCATTAGTGTCCTGATGTTTGTTGCATTTTCAGTACTTCTGTGTACTCCTTATTCAGGTTCAGCTGGAGGTAAGTCAATATTGGTGCCAGGAATAACATTTGATCCTATGCCATCCACAAGAGAATCCCACTTATCGAAATCTTTCTTAAGACCTATAAAATGGGGGAAAGAAAACCCAAGTGGTAATGAATTAAGTCAGCTTTTAGTAAAGCTATCCTGAAAAATTAAAACTCTAGGACAGATGAATCAGCTTGGCTAGGGGTGGCATGATGGTTTGAGGGGGAAGTGACACTTGGGAGGGGTTTTTTTACATGTTAGAGTAGCACTGTCATGTTCTTCCACAGACCTGCTCATATTGGAAAAGTAACTAACAAACCTCCAAAAAGAGTCTTTGACTTGTTTTTTCCACCTGAAACTCTCTGACACTTACTTTTGATCTTGTTCTAATCAGAATGGTTACATTAAAAGCCTCATAGCTGTTAATACTTAATTTAACTTCATGCTTTGATGTAAACAGATACTTACTCAAATGTTTCTGCAGGAAGGCTAACGAAGCATGGTTGCTTATATCAATAGCTTCATTTGGATCTATTTCTCCTTTTAATTTGAAAAATCTTCCAATGATTTCTCCACTCACAAAGGTGAAGTCAGGAAAGCTCTGATGTACTGACCCCCTATAAACAGAACAGTGATCAGCAGGCTTGTAAGAGTGCAGTCATCTGATTAAAAGATGCCACAGGTTGCACTTCAGACACTCATATTTTATGCTGTCTTCTTCAGCAGAAGATGAAACAGGTTAATCTCATGTGCATGCAAGATTAGCAGTAAATTCTGTTCTGGCTACAGAAGGGAGGAGGTTTTGTATGTGCTCGCTCTTAAGTCAGTAAAACTGCAATGGCAATAAAGAATAAGCTTGGCAAAACTTCAGGTTGTCTCTCTGCTCCCAGTGTAGGGTGGATTACAGAGCCATCCACTCCCCTGCACAGTGCTGCCACCAGCTGAGAGCACAACTGCCCCTCGAAGCCCATTTAAAGTGTTCAAACACAGGTGACATGTGAGGCCCAGAGCAAAATCTGTGCCCCAGGGCAGGCACACACCCCTTAAATTTAGGGTTATTGAGAGAGGTCTCTGGCTCCACTGTGGGGGGCACACTGCTGTCTAATTTAAACGTGGTGAAAACCTGGGCTCTGAGGAAGTAGTGGCTGTCTGACTTTTTGCAGCTTCATGGAACTGAACAGCTCTGAGAGAGCAGGTTCATCATCAACCACAGAAACGATGGACCCTGCACACTTACTTGATGGTGATCATTTTCTTGTTGGTGTCATTGGAGCTGAGCTTCTTCATCTTTAAGATGTTCTCAGCCCACTGGAATTTTTCAGAGTTGATAAAGAGCAGTGGTTGCTGGACACTGTTTTGGTAAATGTCATCACCGACTGGAAGCATCCAGGCATCGAGGGCAATGCCACACCTGGCCAAAACAACTGGAGATTGTCACAGAAGCAGAAAGCTTTGTATGGAAACTCTCAGCATGCTTTACTTTGCAGGACACACGGGAAAGAGGAACTCTCAGTGTACATGAGTTAATGAATCACTTGGTTTCAGTATGATTTCTATTCTGGGGGAAGAGAATTAATCCGTTACTGCATTTGTTGGCCTCCATGTGCAGCTGGGCACATGATAATAATATGATCCAGTTATGATGTTTCACCACATCCCCATAACAGAGAGAGGCATGACTTGAGAAAACAACACACCAAGCAAAACTTTTCTTCAAGAGCTAACTGGTAGTTTGGGCATCTTAGGTAAGGTCCCTGCTACAGACCTGTCAAGTGCCAAGTGTCTCTTGCCTTGTTTTGCATACTTACCTGAATCTTAGTTCTTTGCTGAGACTCTCAATAACTGTAGCACCACCAAAGGAGTGTCCCATCACAGCTATTCTGCTAGTATCAACAGAATCCTGTCAAAAAAATCCATGTGCTGTAAGAGATTTTCACAATTTTTTTTTTTCCTTCTTTTTAAAGCGAGTAGTTGTTTAGCCAAAGAGCCTACTGAAGGGGGAAGAGCATCGTGTCAGCTCCAGTGCTACCTATCCAGCTTGGCATGACCTAAGAACATGTTCATAGATCTACGGTGTGATCTTCAGAATAGTTCACAGGAAGCAGATTGGAAATGGAAGAGGGGAACCAGAAGCATTATTAAGCCTTTAACAAAAGTCACCAGTCACCACCTTTCACTCACCTTTAGGCTGTTCCAGTCAAAGTTTGAGTTTAGTACATTCATTACTTCCTCTCCTGAATTGATTTTAAGAATTAGATTGAGAGCTTTGATACACTCCTGTGCTCTTTGCTGCACCTGGGGAGAAAGAGAGATTAGGGCAGATGTCCATAGAGTTGAAGCTCTTGTGCAGATCCTCTGCATGCAGAGGAATTTATTCCTATTGCACGTGCCAAAGACCTTCAATTTCCTTGTCCTCTCACTTCTCAGAGAAGGGCTTTTTGTGCAAAGGATTAAGTTACACAGCTACATGGCAGGCTGACTTGTTGCTCCTCCTTGAGCTCACTGTGATGAGCAAATGACATTACATCACTTGCCCCACTGGCACAATACCTTTGAAATGGTCTTTACACTGGATAAACCCATAAGAAACAGCCAAGAAGCCTGTCTTGTTTCATATAGATACACATTCTTGAAAACTGTAGCAAAGCTGTTGCAAATAAAGGTTTTCATTGTTTGGTTGAAGAATTGTTTTTTACTTTGATATGTCAGAAAAACAAAAGCTTTAAAAAGAACCAAAGAACAGTAGAGTCCTTGGAACTGCAGTGTGTAGGCAGCCAGCAAGATGCCTGTGCATCACTGAATTTCAAATAAATCTGGATCTCCTGACCTCTCTGCTTGTGCCATTTGCAGGCAATGGCTTCCAGAGGCTATTTGCAGGCTCAGACATCACATATTTAGACTCATAAGCTGGATGTTGTATGCAGACAGGAAATTACAGTGGGCTATTGTTTGCATGGCCCAGGGAGATAAACACCCCCCTGGCTGAGTTTGCATTAGCTGGAAGAGAACACTCCCTTATTTTAAAGGTCAAGTCTGTGCTTGGAGGAGCCCGTCAGCACGGCCCTATCACACGTGGCAGGGGTGCTGCTTACAGCCAGGAAGTCTGCATTGTTTACATTCTGTAAACCACACTGAAGCATGCTGAAGGTGCCACAGCAAACCTCCCCCCAGAGCAGCCCTGATTCATCTTGCTATCCAACAGTCAACAAAAGCTGGAGCGAGCCTAAGGCCACACAAACATTTGCATTCACTGCTGTGCCACATCAAGGCTGGGCTGGGCAGCAAAAGGATGAAGACAGAAGAAACAGAAAGTTGAGTAGAAACAGAGGAGAAACAGCTGACTAAGCTTAACAGTGCAGCCTCGTGAGAAAGCTTTATTGAGGAAGTAGTTTATGCTCTGAAGAAAGCTGTTGTTGGCTTTCTCATTTTCAGAAACATGGGGCTTGATTTATTTTCATATCTCCTGAGTCATGTCAGAAGACTGCAGACATGGCCAAAGGGAAGGAGCCTGCTAGTTAGTCCTAAACACACCACTCCTGCTTCACTGCCCAGAGCACAGCCCCAGAGGAGTACCTGCTTGTGGCGCAAACACCGCTCCTCCTCTCCAGTCTTGAGTTTCCTGTAGTAGATCCACTCCTTCTCCATGTTCGATGTAGACTCCTCCTCTGGTTCAGAAACTGACTTCTTTTTACAATAATACGTTGCTGAAGCAGATTCATCTCTGCAATATTGACAAAAAGTTATTTCCAGGGATGTCTTCTGTTGGGTTTGGGATGAAGTCAGCAGAAGTTTTAGAGTTCACTTCTCTCAAGGGATGCAGCTACAACCAGTGCTGCTGCAGTCACAGCTGAGTGTAGGCAGACTTTCTAAATAACACAATAGCCCCACCAGAACTCCCACCTCCAGGTTCTAACAATAAGAGAGAGAAAAACAGTGTGACTGAAGAATGAGAAATTATATCTACCCTGGGACTTTTCATCCAAGGGCTTATTTAAGCAAATTCCCTTTGCTTAGATAAGAGTTGAGCTAGAGAAACCGGGAGTGTGAGCAAGGCCAAAGAACATATGTTAGCTTTTCTTTTTAAAATAAGCCAAGCTCTTCTTTAGAATAAATAACATTCTATTCAGTGTGAAGAAGTTTCTTTCCATCAGAACTCAAAACCATGCAGTATACACACCTGTGCTCCACAGCAGCCACTATAAAGCCCTGGGAAGCCATCTCTATGCAAATAGCAGAATAGATCGTCCTGCAACCAAAACCACACCCTGGTGAGACACGTGCCTACAGAACTATTACAGTTACACTGCTCTGTGAACACTGACCACACTACCTGTGCACTAGCCCCCATCCAGAATGTCACCTGTCTGAATCTGCTAGTCAGTACAGCAGGCTTTTGTATGCCAGGCACCAAAGCCTGTTCACAAAACCTTGGCACTGTTTGACTACCCAGAGGGGAAAACACTAATGACTTTTAAAAAGTAGCATATAACACTTTGTATCTTCAAAGAGCTGTCTGAAAATCAACTAGTTAATCTTCACAACATGCTTACAGATTGGTAAATACCTCCACCCCTAAAATACAAAGGGAATACACAAATAAATTCATCAACCCTGCTTTTATTTACTGCTGTTGATTTCAGTGGGGACATACTGATAGGCAGCAGCCTGTTCTTCAATCTGTTTCAACTCCACGAGGATCTCACCACGCTACTGAAAACCTGTTCAGAACCATTCCTGGAGACTGCTATATCCATAAAAAAGAAAAAATAGTTTGTCAACAAACTGCAGAATTACCGAAAAGCTCCAAGTCCATGGGAAAAAATGAGGAGCGGGTATTTTTCTCCCAGCTTAAAAGCAGCATTTGACTTTGCAGGACAGGTCACTGAACCTAGATAACAATGGAAGTGTACGTCATTATTCCTGAAATGAGACAGCGTTTTTGTTCCCGTGGGAGAGATCCCAAGAAGAATCTGGAGACCACTGTTTAGAGTTTTATCTGAAGATAAGGTACCAAATCTCATGCTTAAAATACAGAAGATCTGATTTTGAAAGTACTTTCTACTTGGCAGAAGACACTTTCCTTCTCCTTCTCCCATCCACAGCCCAGCACAAGGCCCACCCGACAAGAACAGATTTCCAAGCACTGTCAGGCATCCAAGTATTGCTGGCACTCAGACCTTAGAATCTGCCCTTTGTACGTCGCACATTGCCCTGTGGGATTTAAATCCTGACACACAGGTACAGCTTGGCCAAGCCCCTCCTACAGGAAAATGCTCAGATGTTCCTATTCATGGCAGTCAGGGTCTGCAGGTCTGCCCGAGATCTGGGTCACTGCAGAAACCCATCCCAAGCAATCACACTTCTTTGGGAAAAGCTATTTTTTCAGTCCTGTAGCAGTAACATACTGCTCGGGGAGCACTGAGGCAACAGCCTGGACAGAGAGCTCCTGCTCTTGCACTCGTCAAGAGAGAAAACCAAAACTGGTCTTACCAACATAGTACTGGAAAAGCCTTTCTCCAACAACTCGGTACATATTAAGGAAGTCAGAAAGTCCCTGATAGTACTCCTTGTCTGGAATCCACGCTGCCTCCTCCTTATCTGTGGCATCACATGATGGGTAATACAGGCGCAAGAAGCTTCCCTGGGATTAGGAGGAAAGAAAAATTAAAACAGGAAGATTAATATTTATTTATATATGGCAGAGAAAAAAAGAAGATAAAAACACATCAAGGGCTTCAGATGCAAGAATGACAGCTCAGAAGAATTTAGAGCATCTCATGAAAAAATTATCCTCCTATCCAGGCTTTGATACCAATCCCATGTCACTTATCTTTTTGTCCCTGCAATGAATTTAAAGTAGGCTGACTGTTGGCACCCAGGCAGAGATAGAAGTCACCTCCTCTAGGTTAGCCTACAGCTAATTCAAAATGCTCCATCTAATGGAGCTCATCACTACAAACACTCACTACTTACTTGCTCTGCTTCTGTATCTTGCTGGATCTTTTCTTCTGGCTTTCTCACTACGCCTCCCTTCAGGGAACGGTACAGTGATGCAGTGTGATCAGTTTAACAGGTGTGGTTGTCCCTCCTTCACCCTTCCAGCTGGCAGCTGGCACTGCTTTCCTTGCACCACTGAGTCTCATGGACCCAATGTGACCTATATCAGCTTGCTAAACTAGGAGGGGGGAAGGGAAGGACCCTCCTAGAAGTGTATTTTTCCACTAGGCTAGCAAGACAAATTTTACTCTCTGCTCTCCAGTTCTTCCAGGACACCACCCAGGCTTTCCACATTCACGTGGCCTCTCCATACCCCTTGCCAGCACTTCTCCAATGCAGAGAGCAAAGTACTGATGGCACACCTTAAAGCAGATCGCCCAGCAGATGATCTGTGGGTAATCTGCATTCTTACTTCCTGGTTTGCAAAGGAATTTGCAACACACTACTCAAATTCACTGTCTTGTGCCAGCTGTATTTTTGTTTTAACAAGTTACATGTAGGGCTAAAAAGAATGTGAGCTCTGGAATAAAGTCAGGATTCTTGAATGTTATCAGTTTCATACACAAAGCTTGTTTAATGAAGCTCATTTCTGTTTACTCACCAAACTTAAACCAACCTTTGCCACAAAGGCCAGTAAGGAACAAATCATCAGACCTTCATACTAGTAATGACATTAATTTGATTCCAGAATAGTCCCAGTGAACTTTCCCAAGTGACTAACTGCTTACCAAAATGGGAAAGAGGTTCATTATCTATGCCTGAGAGAACTGTAATTATACAGATTGCTTATTAAAGAACCACACATGGTCTGATTGCAAAGAGAAACCAATCACTTCTTTGTGCTAATACAGAGCACGTTCAGTAAAGGAAAACATATGAATAACCACTACAAACTGATTGTAAGTTCCACTCTACCTGGTTAGTCCAAGGACTAAAACCATAGTATAAATGTAGGTGTATTCTCATAGGAAAATGTAAAAACATGAGGATTTGAAACGGAAACCCATAAGTGAACTCATTAGCTAGATATTTACTATCCCCATCTGCTTGTCATGGCTTCTCTCTGTACTAATCACTTGCAGAACTGAAACCCTGTTCTTTTTCAGATAGATGAAAATTTTAGAAGACTTTACCCTGCTTCACCCTGCAGCTGAAACACTACGTACCTTCATCACCCAACCCTGACAAATCTCTCTGGGATCTTTGTCACAAGAACAGCCACAGCCACTGGGTGTGGGTCTCCCCAGGAGCCCTGTGCAGAAGGGAGTAGTGGGGTGGGTGGGAAGAACCTGCGGGTCCCAGGGGGACAGTTTCTCTGCAGTACCTTGCAGAAGAGTTGGGAAGGCAAGGATATTAGGAGGAGGGGGGAAGCAGCCATGGGGAAGGCTTGCAGGTTACGCCTACACTGGGATGGACTGGATAAAAAGCTCAGCTGCATCAGCCATGGAGCATCGCTGTACACAGACAGGACCTTCTGTTTGATTCATCTGTTAAAGCTACAGCAAGTTGCTCCATTAACAGTGTGGCTTAAATCCAAAGGAGAAAGAAGCAAGAGCTTTACCTCAACTGCATTTTCTGTCATCAGGTCTGTACATCCGACCGAGTGCGGTCCCTTTCCTCTGGGGATCCTATAAAACTTCTCAGTGCTGCTGCTCCCCATTTCCATTGGTGTCTTCACCGACAAACCTGGGCAAAACCACAAAGCAAATCAAGAGACTGCCACGGCCTGTGTGAGCAGATCACCTACCCTGAAACAAAATTCAGCACGTTGAAGATGCAGGAGGAGGAAACTCGAGGTCGAGCCAATACAAGAATCTGCTTATGAGCATCAGAGATCCGACATCCCAAGTCACCAACCTGACCTGCTCTACTGGGGAATTTCCTTGGAGCAGAGAGTCCCGAATCGCAAGGATCAGACAACACCGTGCACTAAACGGAAAGGAGAGGAGAGGTTTGGCTGGGGAGGTCGGGTGCTGCGGCGCAGGGCGGCACCAGCCTCAGCT